CATACTTGACTTAGGCATGAACTTACTCTCCCTTGAAGGCACTAGAGGATTGTTGAACCAACCTGCTCGTTGCGGACATCGGCCGCCAGGACTGCATTGTGATTGCATTACGAGCCACGGAGTGTGTGCTGTGATTCCTCTCCTGTTTTGTTTGGTAGAAGCGTGCAGCGCGTCATCTGTGGTGCTCAGAAAATCATTAGTTGCACGTTTGGTGGCTCATGTGGCAGTGACAGGACAGGCCTACCAAGGCTTGTGCGTTGACATGGGGAATTGGCTCCCGGTTCATTCTCCTCCTCTGCTGAGCTCGTTTCCTGCTCGTTTTGCAGCTGTGAGCCCCTCTCCCACGCCGTGGGCCAGCGTGCCAGGTACACAGCTGCTCCCCGGCCCCCTCAGCCTCCCGCAGCTGCTGCTGCACCAGGGTCCCTGAGCAGGAGGGATGCTGCAGGCTGAGGGGGCTGTTTGTGCCGTGTTTTTCCAGGGATGTGTTGCTGTGCTGCGTAAAGTTGCTGCATGTGCGTGGTTTCAAACCGCGGGCAAATCCTTTCCAGAGTTCTTAAGGACTTTGCCTGGTCTGGAAAGGGGCAGAGAAGATGTGAAAGGGGTTGCTGCCTCCTTTATTAAAATGGGGTCGCTCACTACAGGGATTGTGAGTGCAGCAGAGCCCTGCTGAAAGCAAATATCCCAGGTACAGGTGAGTGCCAGGGTTAGGCACTGTGCCTATGCTGTCCCTCCCGTCACCCAGCCCATGGGCTCCCTTCTGCACAGGGTGAAGACATCTTAGAGCTATTAGCTCAGTGCTCTTTGGCAGCAGGGTTCGCGTAAAAAATGAGGCAGTGGGGCTCCAGTTTACCTCAAGCCCTATAAACGTAGGTGTTTATAGCGTTTGAATCACTTGAAATGATAGTTGACTGTCCAAGCACAGTCCGGGTAACAAGACGGAGAGCAAAGTTTTCCTGGGAGGAGTTTGCGCATGTTTTCCATTAGCAGTCAGACAGCAGCCAGGGCAAAGGAAAAGGCATGAGAACAGCCTCTCACCATGACCTCACGAGGAGATTTCCCAGCTCTCAGCTCAGCTCTGTTGCATGACTGAACAAGTGGAAGAAAGCACAACTGGTTCCAGGCTACTGGTTGCTTTATTAGTGTCTTATTTTCATTTTATAGCAAACTGTCTGAATAAGGGTTCTTGGGGTCTAAAGAGCCCCAGATGGAAAGATATTTATGGTCCGTGGGCAGAGACAACAGCCTCAGGACACGTTGTAGCTGCTGTACGGATGGTGCATACGTGGCCAGTGGGTCCCGTGCACTCCAGATGCATCCAGCTTGTGGTGTGTGGGTGTTAAGGGTAATGAATGGTGGAGGTTCTCGGTCTGCTTGCAGCTGGCATGTGTGTGTGTCTATTTGTTCAGGCGTTTCCAGCATCTGGAGATCCTACACAAGTCTCTGGCTTTTTTTTTGCTTTTTTTTTTTTTCTTTCTCTATGCCTCGTCAAAGCTTCCGAACAGGAAAAAGAAGACAGGCAGGGGATACACCCCCACGAAGTGGAGAATAAAGATGGAAAGTTTGTGTGCAGTTCTGTGACCCTTTTTTACACAAGTCCTGATTGCTGCTCAAGCTCAGTGTGGTGACTTAGTGAGAAAGGAGCTTGGATGGAGCATCCTCGCCTGCAGTCTCTTCTTCTGCAGAGGCTGGGGTTTCCTGAGGTGAAGCCTTTGACGAGGGCGGTTTGAGGTATTCCCTGCTGCTCACCTAATTGCTCTGGCAAAGCCGAGGCAGCCCCGTGTTGCGGTGTGGGAAAGGAAATGAGTTGCAGAGGAGAGCACCTTAAGCCAGTGTTGCCACCGGAGACTTCACCTCGTGAAACCACAGGGTTCCTCATGCATGTCCGAGCCGTGGCTGATGACAGCAGCCAGTTAGCGAGTGCTGAAGGGGAGCTAAAGCAGGGACTGGGGCCTCTGCTCCTCCTGGCTGCTTGGGCAGACAGTGCCTTGCTCTGGCTTGCGTGGCTGTTGGGCTGTGAGCAATGCCTTGGGTTGTGGGATCATAGGCTACGAGGAGCTGAAAACCACGAGGGCATCTGTTAAATCTTAAAAACAGAGACTTGTAGAATTAAGTTAAATGAGGGCCTTACAGACTCTGTGGCTATTGCAGAAGAAATTACAGGGTTCAATACGTATATATATCCAGTCAAGTGGTTTCTGTGTATTTAGACTGTAGTCGTATGAAAAGGAAGGCTTTAGCCCAGCCAAACTGAATTCCCTGTATGGGGAATTCATGTAAGGTCAGCAGCTTTACACCCCAAAGCTGTGCATCTGTAGTCATTAAGCACATATAGAGGAAGCTGTCCAGGCTGATGTATCTGCTTACCCTCCTTCCTACGCTGTCTGCCTTTTGGTTTTGATATTACTAAAAGCTTCAGTAAGAAACGGTTTTTATCGTGTCAGATGTCACAAGTTGTCTGTGCCAGTTTCCAAGTCAGAGTGTGGGCTCGCTGGGGCCTTTCCAAGAGCTGGAAGGAGGAGTACAGCAGGGCTGGGAACTCCTGGGGAATGCAAGAAGCTGTAAAACCTCCCACTGGGTGATCTGTGACAGTGCGACAGACTGACTGCCTCGTCCGACTTCTCTTGCCGAAGCATAAAAAGGCTGTGTGGAGCTGCAGATGCTTTCCCTGATTACTAATGAGAGAAAATCCTAACTGCTTGGCTGGTTTTCCTCACAGGATGAATGCTCAGTGTTGTTGCCGAGGTGGTTTTTTTCTTTTTTTTTTTCTTTTTTTTTTCTTTCTCCCCTGTATATCATCGTTTGTTTGAAAGTATCCCTCTTCCTTGTAAAATACTAGGTTCAACAGTAGATGCTCCTTCGGGAAAGGGTCTGGGGTTGAGGGCAGGTTTGAGAGGGAGCAGTGGGATGCCGGACCCCAGGTGGATGGGCAGTGAGGTGTTCACCTGGGAGGTGGGAGCCACAGCTGGGCAGTCTCTGCTCTGACTGTGTCAGTGGTTCTGCAGACTGGAGCAAGGAGACCAGCAGAAGACCTCACGGTAGCCAGCACTGGGATGGCTAGCCCTGTTGTCTCTGATGTGGGCTACGGCTGGGAGACAGTGCATTTCTAACATCATAGGTGGGTGTCTGAGCCATGGGGCCGTTGGCAGCTTCTTTTTAGAGAAGATGAAAATACTTTTTTTTTGGAAAGGTTAGAACTTTGTTCAGATGTGGGATGGGGACATGTTTGTGGAGGGGTGAAGCAGATTCACCCAGGCTTGCTCACACCCAGTAGTTAGGAAGATGAAGGGTGCTGGTCTGCAATTGAGGTCTGTAGCATCAAGCACGACCCAGCTAATACTCCATCTGTGGACACATGCAGATGAGTTAATTCATGTTTACAGCCTTTCAGAGAGTTTCCATGCAAAGCCACCTGGCTGTGGTGTACACTGGTCAAAGCAGGCTACAGGGCTGCCTTCCTTAATATGCCAGCTGGGATCTTCTGCTCCACTGTCAGAAGAGGGAAGAGCTGTACCGGGGTGAGGTGGTATGATGCTGACAAAAACAGGCAAAATGAGGGACTGTCGAGCAATAGAAAGGCTTATGCAACTGGACTACTTTTGTGTGACGCCCATGAAGTAAACCTGGTTGCTCCGGAGACAATCTCTGTTTTATTTAGAGCTGTAATTGGAGGAGACCTGACAGCTTCAAAGTCCCACTTTTGTCTGGAAAGTTGCTATGGGATCATATCTCATCAGTAACAAACAAGGACTGATGCAGACTGAAGCGTTTTGTGGATGTTGTCCCCACACTGTGCATGTTTGATGGTTCTTTCTGTATGTCTTCTGAATGGGGAGATGGAGATGCACATAGTTCAACAGTTTTAATATATTGAAGTTGTTTCTCACAGACTGCTTTGCAGATTTTTAGTTTTGATGGGTTTGATTTATTGCATCTTTTTCTGCTCCAGCTTTTTGGTTTTGTTGGGGTTTTTTTGTTTGTTTTTTATTTTCTTTGGCTGTTGGTGGTTTTTTTACCAGTCGACCTTGTTAAATTTAACTATCTCTTAGGTATTTCATTTCCATGTGCGTATCCTGCTCCTTGTAAAAGATGTGCAAATGGAGGGGCAAACAATGATTGGGGTAGAGAAAGTGGGTTACAAAGATCAGAAATAAAAGGGCTGCTAGAGGGATGAGAGATTTTGGGTCTACTTCTCCTGTTCCTTGCATGCGTATAACCTGTGCAATATTTCCCTGAGTCTGCTAGAGGAGGGAGAAGTTACGGATGCCCTGCAGGTTATACATATGGAATATGGTATTACAGTTGAAGATCCTCATACTGAGCAATTCAAAATTAGAAGCATTGTAATGTATCATTCTGGACACTGGGCAGCAAAATTTCCATTTTAATCCCTTCTGCAGCACTGTGATAATTCAGTGATTGTAAAAAAATATAATAAATAAATGCAAAAAGTTGTTTTGCACTTGAAGAACATGATACTGAGAAATCTTCCTTGGACTGCTCAATTGGGCTTACGTTCAGAGAAATACAAGACTGCCCTCTAAGCTTTTTGTTTAACTTGTGCTTTGTTTTTTCCTCTTATCTGTGGGTTGTGTTTTTTGGTTTTCTTGGGTTTTCTTTTGGTTTTTATTGACCAAAAAAAAAAAGGATTAATCATGGTTCTCGGAAGCAGAAAACAGGCTGTTTGATTGTCACTGATGGAAATGCTGCGTAGTGAAACTGTGGGTGAGGGAGTAGGTGGTTCTACTTCTGCTTGTCTTGCAACTCCTAAGTATGATCATAAACAGCTGAATTTGTGTCAGGCTTGCAACTCTGCTTGTAACTACACCCACCTTAGTTTGGGGTACACACTTTATCATTGCTCTGGGTTGAAAGACGCTTCTTGGAGGCAAGATATTTCAGCTTGTTCTACATCTTGAGTGGCTGCTTCTGGCTGCTGAAGTGTGTGTGCACATGAAAATATGCTTTTGTCTATGCTTACGATCGGTTTACTTTCTTTCTAGGGCTCATCACAATAAAAGAAGCCCATGATATAGAAGCCAGACTTAATGAAGTGGAAAAGCTTCTGAAGACTATTATAAACATGCCCTGGAAGGTGAGTAAGCCAAGTTCCACATTTAGCCCAGCTTGACGACTCCTTGATGGAGGCACGCACTCTCATGCAGATTGGAAAGAGATGGGCTTTGCCAGACTCTAAAAGAAGCACCTGTTTATTGAGTAACTTGGATAAGTGCTGAGTGCCAGAATTGTATAATGATGTCTACAGGCTGCTGCTCATAATACATCTTTCTGTCATACTATGAAGGGGTGGAAAGGGAGAAGAGGGACAAGGAAAACTACTGGTAAAAACTGACGTCTATTTCTTTTTCTCTTTTTAAGTATTCAAGATCTGAAGTTGTCCTCACGTTCTTTGAGAGATCTCCTTTGGACCAAGTTCTAAAAAATGACAATGTCCATAAGATTCAGCCAAACTTTCAAAGTCCAGTTAAAATATCAGGTAGGAGTTGTTAGCTTCCTACATTTGACGCAAGAATTACAAAATGAAAATGACTTTATTTGCTGTTCCCCTTCTTTCTCCACCAGCAATAGTTCTCCGTAGTCTGCTCTAAAATATAGAAAATATAATTAGCCTCGATATACTATGCAATATGCATTCAGGCAGGAGAGTGGAAGCTGAAATTAAATGCTGGTAAATGCAAAGAAGTGGATGCGAGGAAAATGCAATCCTCTGTCATCACATATGAAAGTGCTGTTACCACTTAGGAAGGAGATTTTGAGGGTATTGATACAGTTCTGTGAAAATGTAAGCTCAGTGCCAAGCAGTGACCAAAACCAGCAGTGAGACTATTAGATATTATTAGGAAAGGAGGGGAAAACAGAAGAAAGGAGCACCACCCCGTCTTGAATACAGTGTACGCAGTTCTGGGCTCTCCGTCTCAGAAAGGATATAAGAGAATTTAAAAGCATGCAAATAAAGGACAAGGAATCAAATTGTCGAACAGATTTTCTAAGGAAAAGCTTAAATAAAGAAGGCCACTTCAACTTGGAGAAGAGATGACAAAGTGGGGATATGGTGGAGGTCTACAAAGCTGGGAATAGCAGGACGTCAATTACCCTGTACTTCTCATGAAACAAGAACTATAGGTTATCCAATAATGTTGATAGACAACGGGGTTTAAACAAACAAAAGAAAGGCTATAATATTGTTTTGTTTCCATATGGAGCACAGTTAAGGAGTGGAACTCATTGTCATAGGATATGTGGTGAAACTGAAAGCGTAACCGAGTTCAAAAAGGAATTAGAGAAGCAAGTGGAAGAAAACTACATTGAGACCTGTCACAGGTGGAGACACAGAAAGTTTCTAAACCACAGATTGCTAATGGGTAAAATGGAGAGTGGTATTACTCTATCCTGGCCTATTCTTTTGGCTTTTCACCTCTGCATCTGCTACTGACTGTTGTTGAAAGGTTTGTGGACTTTTGGTGTCCCTGGTTTTGTATTTCTACACTGAAATGTTTCGCGTGAGCCTACTGGCAGCTGCTGGTTTTGTGTGGCCAGAAGAGTTTGTTTCAGAGCATGAAATAAAAGGGAAATACTACATAGTCCTCCAAGGTGTATGAAGTGTTTAGCATGAAACTGGTATCATTTTCTTGAGGTACTAACAGTTATTGGCCAGTCAGCATGTCAATATGCTAGAGGTCTAAACGGTGCTTAAGGATCAATCTTATACACAGGGTCAATTTTTTGTAAATGATCCTGAGCTCTGGTTCTAAGGGAACTAGTTATATAAATAGTCTTTTAATTAAATGGTAAATGGTTTACGAGCCCACCAATAACTCTCTTAAAAGTATACCATGTAATACAGAGCCTCAGCGAGAACTGTGGTCTTACAAGGCCATCTGTCCTGGTGCCTTCTTGTGGAGTCCCCCAAGCTTCAGGGCAGCACAGGGATTGTAAAGAAGAGTGCCCCAGGCCATACTGCAAAGGAGGGGTGACACAGGGCTGGCTTCCTGGGAGCGAGGGATGGGAGCCAACATGTGTGTCTCATGCCCTGTCTGTGACTAGGGAGGTTTGGATGACGCCTTGGGCTGATGTGGAAACCTCAAGTAAAATTCCTCATGTGTGTGTTCCTGACATGAGTCATCTTCTGAAGGCTGAACGTGGTTACTCGCTTTGCTCCTGAACGCCAGGACGTGTTCTCATCCCTGACCCTTGAGAGCATATTCACTGGTTTTGTCTGAAATATGTTGCTACTCCGTGAGACCAGAGCTGCAAAGTGGGTCCTAGCACCTGACCGTTACGAAATGAAAGATCCCCAAACTACGGGCTGTGAAAACGTTCCAAAGGGTGGCTGCTGTCAGTGATAACCTTGTTCTTTTTCAAAAAAGCAAATATCAGGAATAAATGTCTTTGGAATTGCACTGGTTAGAAACTACAGTGTTGCCCTGGCTTGGGGCTTTTTGCTGTTTGGAAGAGTTTTGTCTAATTTTTGTGAGGCTGTGTACCCTATTAGGGCCCACACAGCCTGTGTGTGCATGACTGAGTACATCACGTGGTCGGTGGTGGGACCATAAAGAGATGGTCAAGATGAACCTCAATTTGGAGTGAGGGTGCCTGGCTGATGGGCAGAGTCAAGCAGCAAAGGGAACCCTCCTGCCAGCCTCTATGTAGAGGAGCTGTGGAAACCACATTAGCTGAATAATAACATGATTAGGTTTAATTCTATATTAATTTTGGTAGTGACAAGTCATACCTAATTAAATGGAGGAAGATATTTCTACCTGTGCAGCTGTCCAAAAGCATCTTGTGGTAATTAGTTTTATCATTTAAGTGATTGCTGCAAAGAGTTTAAGAATATAGGCAGAAAATTGACGGTAATTGATATTTCCCTTGTCTGAATGGTGCTCCCTGGAAACGGTTTCAGTGCCTGTCAGCGTTGTCAGTAGATGGCAGCAAATGTTCACGTCTAAAGCAGTTCAGACAGCAATGAAATGCTGTTAACTCTTCAGTCCTGTCAAGGACACTAGGAAAACAGGGTGACATTCATGTTAGTCATAGTGCAGCTTCCTACATGGCTTGCAAACTTTGAAAAGCAGGCAAAAATGTTTTGTATTCTCTGAAAAAACAAACTGTCCTCCACATGGTCCTGCTCGGAGTGGTAGGTGATGGGGAAGAGAGGAAGGGCTGCCCTCTTAGATGACAGCTGGATTTGAGTTTATGGTGTAGATCTTATTCTGCAGCACAGTGTTGGTTCAAGACGAGTCACGACTGGTGTCATTCTACTGGGATGCAGTGCTTTTTACTAAAAAAATACAGACTGTAAGTCAAGATTAATTTCTTAAGACAAATAGGGAAGTGAGTTCTGGCTTTACCTTAATGGGGGGACATCTAAATGTACTCTTAAAAAAAAATTACCTCTCTTGTTTCTCCTCTCCTGCTCACTACTTGAACCGTATCGCTGAAATTGGTCTGTTCAAGGCAAGGTCTTAGGTGTTCTCTGTTCTTATGTTTTGTGCCTACCATATTTTCTGCCACAGACTAATTTCCTTTCATTTGTGCTGACAACGCACGGGTGTAACACAGGGTCCTTTTACCTCAGGGCAAATAATGAGTTGTCCCACTTAAGTCACTGCTGATTTACACAGAGAAATATTTCCATTTTGTGGTGGCCTTAGCATCATCTAAGATTGTGTGACTGTAAAAAAAAAAATCCTTGTGACTTGCCTAGTTTGCCTTTCCATGTATCAAGGACATGGATTAACTTCTCATTCACATCAAATACTCTTCTTTAATTATAAACTCTCCCTACAGTAGTAAGTCAGTGTAATTAGGTATAAATTTTAGCTATTCCAGATTGGAGGCTTCTTACACAGTGAGAAACAAATAAGCAGAGTTGCAGGCAATGTAGAAGGTGATATTGTTCTACATAGCTTAAAATGGTGGTTGAATTAACTTGGAAGGTAAATTTTTATTTCTTTTTTTAATGTCCTTTTGATTTTTGCTTAGGTGGGTTAAGCCTGGGACTGTCTAGGAAAAACACAATTATATTTCAGTGGTGTTAGGTCGCAATAGATGGATGGGCTGCCATTCTGCTAAGGGTGACAAAAAATTTTGCTGCTGGCAGTAATGGGACTGAAAGTGGGCCTTGCTTCAGACGTTCCATATCATGAGTTGATCATGTGAATAAAACTGCTTAAGCACAGGCAGTCTGCAGATGGAAGAAGCTATGAAACCAACTCTTCATTCCTGCTTTCATGTACAGATTTTCACTGTCACGCACACATCCCAGTTCATGACCATGTTAACTCCATATGATATGCAGTTATTTTCCAGCTTTTTTGGGGGGAAGGGGATTTTCATGTTCTTTTTCTTTCTTCTCCCAACAGAAATCATGCGATCAAATGGATTTTGTTTAGCCAACACTGAAACAATAGTCATTGACCACAGTATACCCAATGGAAAAGAGAAGCACCTGGACGTAGATCCAGCAGAACACTTGTAAGTGCCGTTTGTGCGGGAGTAAAGCTGTCAGCCTCAGATAAACTGTGACTTTTTTTCCCCCTAGCAAAAATTGTCCTCTCTCTAGGAGCAAGACTGGTACAGTTCTCAATTGTACTGGTTAAAGATTACTGGGCCTGATTGTTAAGGCTTCAGAGCTCTTTCCATTAAAATGGATAAAATGGCTGTCGGTGAGAATTATTGATCTGAAGGAGCTCAGTCTTCTGTGTATGAAAAAAAACTGTGGTTGTCAAAGGGGTCCTGCCAGATTAGAACAGAGGAGTTCTTGCTTACTCTCCTGACTGTGATGAGAGCTGGTTTGAGCCCAAATTTGGAAACTCAAACATCCTTACAAATGGAATATCCTACTATGAAGGGTAGGCTATATTTGGGAAGCAAAACAGCATCCTTGGAGGAGAGAAACACACCCCTGAATGTAGTCAAAGGAAGCTGAGCAGCTGCTCAGCTGCTGGGGCATGTTGTGACTTAGTGAAGCATGTGTGTTTCATTAGGGGAGAGGGAAGTCAGACTGGTCTTATCTGTAAATTCTGCCTCCTAACGCATGTAGGTATTCTGGGGTCAGAGACCTGTAACCAGGGGGGCTTTTTATGTAGGCCTTAAGCCAGTGACTGTGTTGACAGATGGGTGTTGGTGGAAATCAGCTCCTACAGATTTCTGTCAGGGCAGGTGATTGATATTTCAATGAGCTTCAGGTAGTGAAGCATTTGAATATTTTTAATGAGAAACATTGACCTACTTTCTCGTTCGAGCAGTCAAAATGATGGAAACAGAGCACTAAAAACCTTATGGAAGCTTTATCTTTGAATGCAGCCCTCTGTCTTCCCACATTTGAAACGTGGTCATCGCCAGGCTGTGGAAAGGTTTAGAGCTTGACAAGATTTTCTCAGGGGCTGGAGTGTATCTCTGCTCCAGTGTAATTTCTTGGAGTCTTTCTATTAACTTATCACTTACTGTTTTGAATCTTGACCTTGCTAACAGCATTTAAGCATATAAGCTTGTGTTAATGAGTCTGAAGGGACGCACTGGAGGTAATTCTGTAGGGCCAATGTCTGGAAATTAAAGTTGTCATAGTTCAGAGTGGATCACTTTTCCGTACTGAGAGTGACAAATAATAGGAGCAAATTACCAAAGAAAGCTTTGTTCTGCTCTATTTTGATTACTTTAAATAATTTTGGTTTAATTTTTTATTTTTACTTTCTAAAATCTAGCTTTGATTTTTAAAATGTGCTGCAGCCCAAGCAAAACTTACTGATCTGGGATCAGAAACTGTAATCATCTCATTTTCATCCCATTGAAGTCAGAATATTAAGGCCATAAAATATTACTATGACAAAAACTGTAGGGTAGGCGTGATTTCCCAGAAACTGTGGTGGAAGAAATAAATCATAGTAATAACCTGGCTTTGTGCATTTGTATTTTAACGTTCCTGAAGGAAGAAAGCAGGAGTCAAGAAGTTATTAAATTTCAAATGTCTATTTTACATGGTGCCCTGAATTTTTCTATCCTGTAGCCGTATTTTACAGCCAAGAGGTAATGGCGCTAGTGTAGCATAGCTGTTTTGTAAAAATTAAACTTTTTTTTTAAAGGCAGAAGTTTTCTATACGTTTTTTTTAAATGTAGGTTAGTAGCCCAGAAAGGAAGCTTTTAAATCTTTCAAAATCCTATGAAGTTCCTTTTTGTTTCTGTAAAATTGGATTTCTGGGATTGGTGTTTTCTGTTCTTAAATCAGAGTTAATTCCTTGTGGACCTGTACCTCATCAAATGGGAACGTTTTCCTTTCAGCAATGTTAAACTCTGTATGACTTTTGGGTTTTGGCTCCGATGTGTTTGAATCAGACATTTTGCAAAGCAAACCTGTGTTTTTTGGAGAGAAGCACTTGGAGCTTCAGTGGGTAGCAGTTGTTCCCTGAGGTCCCACTGTACTGGTTAGCTGTTGTACCCGCAGAGCTACCTACCCAGTAGGTAGGTCCATCAGCTGAATAGTCTTAAACTTCTTGCAAATGAGACGATAGCATTTTTGCAAATTGGAGTTGCTTACTCTGCTCTTCTGAAGGAGTTGCTTTCTACTTCCTTAATTTTCTCTCTAATTTTAGTTGTCAGTGCACCATACCGTTGCAGAATGCAGTGAACCAGTGTGCTCAGCATCCACGTGGCATAAATAGTGCTTTTATGCGCGCTTCTTTGAGTATTCTGCAGTCCCTCTGAAAGGGAAGTGGTAAATCAATGCATTCTTACTCACGCTTTGGTTGTGTTACAGAGATGCCTTCCCCCTGCCAGGACTGTTTGCACTTCTGTCTTTTCGGCCAGCAGCAGAGGCTGTGGCATTGGACGTGCTGCTTTTTTGGCAAATTCACTCCAGTACTAGATATGCATTTTCAGGACGGTGCTGCCATTGTCACAATCAACTTGTGGTCCACAGGAAAGACTTTATGGGTGCTGAGAGCCTCCTTGGAATGGGAACGTGCGTGACTGAGGAGAGTGTAGGTTTTAGCAAGTTGATGTCTTCTGGTTGAGAGTAGGCATGAGACAGTGGGTAATCCTTGCAAAAGTTCAGATTGTAACACAGGAGTTAGGAAGTCTGAAGGAAAATACCAAAACAAGTGAAACTAAATCTGTGAATCTCTTTATATTGAGATGTTCTCTGCTTGTTAAAACCTAAATCTCATGCCATGGGGAGGACAGCGAGGCTCTGGAGGAAGACACTGCACTCATTGTTTCCTATTTGTGTTAGACATTTGCCCTCGCACAAAAGCCAAACCCAGAGAAGGTGCCTGTGAAGTGAAAGGGTGAAAGTCCAAGTTCAGATAGGAAACAAAGGCAGTTTCCTTTCCATTTTTGTGTGGGAACTGAGGCATTTTGTCTTGCTGCCACATACTGTGAGAACAAAATGGAAGGATGTGGACCTCAGTTGCATGATTCACTCTTGCAGAGCTCACTTGCTGCTTCCTTCCTTCCTCACTAGTAGCTTTGAAAATCAGGGAGGACAAGATGCTTTGCTTGCACGCACCATGGTTCTCATTGGCCTATGGTTTATTCATATACACATGAGTGTGTGGAGGAAGAGGTGTGGATGGGATCAGCTCTGAGTAATTTCTGTGAAGGTTTTCCCAGACCACAGTGAAAGCTCTTCTAGACTCATAAAAATCTCATTGTAGAAGTATCCAGAATAACCTGGCAAGAAAGACTGTGTCCCAGGAAATCATTCATTTGTTAGTCGGAGGTGGGAACTGAGGCATTTTGTCTTGCTGCCACATACTGTGAGAACAAAATGGAAGGATGTGGACCTCAGTTGCATGATTCACTCTTGCAGAGCTCACTTGCTGCTTCCTTCCTTCCTCACTAGTAGCTTTGAAAATCAGGGAGGACAAGATGCTTTGCTTGCACGCACCATGGTTCTCATTGGCCTATGGTTTATTCATATACACATGAGTGTGCGGAGGAAGAGGTGTGGATGGGATCAGCTCTGAGTAATTTCTGTGAAGGTTTTCCCAGACCACAGTGAAAGCTCTTCTAGACTCATAAAAATCTCATTGTAGAAGTATCCAGAATAGCCTGGCAAGAAAGACTGTGTCCCAGGAAATCATTCATTTGTTAGTCGGAGGGGAGCCCTAGGGCATGAAAAAAAAAAAAAATGTTTTTGATCTGGCTCATCTTAAATGTAGTGTGGTAACCAGGTGTCATGTGGTATGAATTTCAGGTATTGTAATGATAAGTGCTATGAAGAGTCAGTGTCAGAGACGGGTCATAAAAATCCCTTTTACTGAAGACTATCTAAAGAGATGAGAACTTGCTCTCCTGGTATGCTGCACAGCTGTGTTCTAGCACAGTTTTAAAGGGAAGAGCCATCCTGTTTTACTGAAAGCAAACTCTTCATTCCATTCATTTCCATAGGTTATAAAGAAATGGATGTTCTGTTTATTTAAGGACATGGAAAGCAATGGCTTTACGCTTACTTCTCCACTCTCTCTAGGAAGTGTTGAATCTTGGCTTATGAAAGTGACAGCAGATGCCATTGCTGGTGTCTCCAGTAGGTTGCACTGGCGTAATAATACAAAGGCTGATGTCAGAGAAATTATAGCTTCATGATTCATAGTTGATCTGTGTGGACCTTCCTTGACACTTTCTAGTATGAATTCAAATTGCAGGCTGCCGAGAGAGGGAGTGAGATATCAAAGCTTTGGAAAAAGAGTTAGGACTCTAGATCTTTGTCTTGCAAACTGAGCATCACAAAGCTGAAGCTGTAAACCAGCATTAGAAATACTTCTACTGCAACACTACTCTGCTATGAAGCAAGTCCACATGCAACGTTTACTCAGAAATTTAACTTGCAGTACCAACAGAAACCTTCTTGCCTGCAGCCCTTTTTTCCAAGTAGTCTTCTCACAAATGCCTTTTCTCAAAATTTCCAGGGGCTCGTCTTCAGATATCCTAGTCTTCTCCCTTTCCCTCAGTAATTTTCTTCCAATTCCTTTAACTTTGATTTTCTAAACGAACGTTAATGACTTAATGACTTCTGGTGTTTTGTTTCGTTTTGTTTTTTTTATTTCTCCTTAGGTTTGAAAGTGTTAGTGACTTTACCTCAGAGCTAGAAGACAGTGATGATCCAACAGCTTATGTCACCAATTTGACGTACTACCACCTGGTCCCGTTTGAGACTGATATTCTGGACTGAGGCTGCTGGGTGATGCCAGCACCCAGCCCACCTCTTCGTCCATCGGCTCTGCTATCTCCGGCGTTGCATCTCTGTGAATAAAAGGCCGTGCGGGCAAGACCACCAGCTGAGAAGTTGCAGCAAGGATGCCACAAAGCTGGTTTTGTCGTCTGGCCACTCCGTTCGGTGTCACGGAGACATCTTGTAAGAAGGTAACTGCTGACAACGAACTCGTTTTCTGTGAAAGCAAGGCAGCAGGAGCCTCCTGGGGCCTGAGGAAATCTCTGCTGGGTCTGTGGGAGCTGCCGCTGTGACGCAGCCACTGGAAACCTGTGCTGATGATACACTGTCACCCGTGCTCCTTTGCCTCGCAGTGCAAGTCGAGGCTTCCTCTTTTAGGATACCACCACAAACTTCCCCAGATGGCGTGACCGCTCTTTTTTATGCTACATAAGCGAGAAAGCGAGCAAACCAGCTGAGTTTTGTCAGTTCCCAGTGTGGTTGCTTAACGGCGGTCTCGCGGGTCACACTTTGGTCAGCTACCAGATGACTGGTGCCTTACACGAGATGTCAGCAATACCATTGAGTGCCTCCAGGAAACAGCACATGACCTGACCGCTTTACTTCTTTTAATCATGTTTTTTTTTTATATATAATCATTGAAGAGGCGACTACTCTTTTCTGGAATAGTAGAGCAGGCAGCAGCTGGCATTGCAATGGACTGTGCATGGTGTTTGGGTGCCCGTGTGATTCCAGAGATCTGGAAAGCTGATGGGAAAGCTGAGCTGCCCCCCCCCGCTAAGAATGGTCAAGGCTAGGACAGACACTTGGATACAAATTTTTTTTTATGTGGACCAGAAAATGTGAATGGTGCTTACAGTTGTTTACATCGGAGAGATCATTCCCTATGCATCTTTCTCCCCAGAGGACGGGGAGGAAGGCAATGAGATTTACATCATGTTTGGACTGAAGAAGAGTGATAAGCTACGGTCTGTCTAGAGTGGTAGGAAAAACACTCTCTCCCCTGCCAGCCTGGCTCAAGGAGTCTGTCTAGCTTTCCAAGATATGCCTGTGGGGCCAGGCCTTGTTGTCACGTAATGCCATGGATTTCAGTGGAGGCAGGAGAGCGGGAGCAAGAGCAGGATCAGACCCTGCAGCCTCTTGACTACTGAGTAGTGCAACGTTCAAATCTCCTCGGGGTCTCTCTCCTGTGGAGTGCTCTGAAATCCCGGCTCTCACTGTGAGCGCTCAACACTCACCATCGTGACCTCTTGTTGAGCTTTTTGCAGTCTGCTTGCCACCGTGGATTTGGAGGGATCAAAGTGGGAAGGAATGCATTTTGGACTTGATTCTTGGTAAAGGGGCTTATTTGGTCCTGAAGAAGCTGATACAGCTCCCCCTCTGCAGACTTTTCATTTCTATCTATAGAATAACAGTCAAACAGAATTTGCTTAATGTAAATAATAAATTATTGAGAATCCTAATTCTTTTACACAGTATGTTTTTAAAATATATTTTAATGAAATAAAATATAACTCACCTTCAGTACACTTTCTGCAGCTTAAAACAGCGGCTTCCTTTTATATTTTTTTTCCTTTGAGGACATTTTCCCAACTATGCCAAATTTTCTTAGTAGTTTTGGAAACATGCTGACTTTGGGCAATTCTTTCTGTGCTCCGTGTGTTGCCCATACTGTAGATATGGTGTATACCCATGTGAAACCTCTCTGCCTAACTGTTGATCTGGGGTCTAGGTTTATGTGGTTTAATACCACTAAGTTTAGTGGAGGAATTCTGCATTTTCAAGACCATAAGTGAATTCAAATCTGGAAGTTATTCTTTTTGAAGAAAATTCTTACATGTTAAGTTTCTGGAATGGAAAGACTTTCTCAGCAGCCTCCTGAATTAGAATTGAGAAGGATTTTTGTTTATTTGTTTTAGTCTCATTAGTTTTAACTCTTCTGTCAGTTCTTTCATGATGGGGTACAAACAGCATCTAGTAAACATGTGCATTGGATTGGGAATTGGAATATTTTATTTCAGTTCCTGGCCCTGCTGTCAGCCTATGATATTCCTTTGGGTAATTCTACTTCATCTTCCTTTCCCTGCTTTTTCCTTGAGTAATATTTTGAAAAGCACCAAGTGTCATTGGCTTTTGCTGGAATATTGTGTCCTGATTAATTTGAATTTTCCTATGAGTTTTTAAGGACATGATAACTACTTATATTTCTGAAAGCACTTTAAAATATATGGATTAAAAAAAATAGAGCAGTATTGTTAAATTTTACAGCCACATTCCTCATATGAGAACCAGCTAAGCTGCAAGCACAGTGAAGTCTCCAGGGCATGGGGTGTCTAATGCAAAGGAACTGATCTACAAACAGAAGTCACACCCATTTCACTTGGATTTTTCAAAAGCCATTTTGATCAAGTATTTTCCAGAGATTATGTCATGTGATTTATTTCTCTTAGCTGAAATCTGTTTATTTGATAAATCAAGGGAATGCAAATGACCGTGTGTATCACTTTGTCCATAGGGTCAATTAAAAAACCCTTTTTGGTTAAATCACTGGAACTTTCTCACGTGGATCAGGTCTCTACAACTGGGAGAGGCTCAGAGTATGAATTATGCATATGGTCGATTCATATGTACGGATACCTTACTGATTTGTGTCACAACAGAGCCCCTCATGGAAGAAAATTTGTTTTTCAACAAAGCACATAGCTAAAGCCATATGTTACCTACTACTTCTTCTTTCACCTTGGTGACTGCAAAAAAACCCCAAAACGTTCCTATCTTCTTGCAACTGCTTTTCTGTCGGGAGGATAAAAAGAAAAAAAAAGGTCTGGAGAAATTAATCCTGAAATCTCACTCTGCTTTGAGGATTTGCTTTAATTTTGGTCTGTGGTTTGGTTGCATGTCTGTCTGTGTGGGAAAGCTCTGCCCATGTATATGATTGTGTATAAAATATGTCAGGGTGCTGCGAAGGCTGGTGGTAGTTGGGGCTCCCCATGGATCCATCAGGGCAGGGGCTGGCAGTCGGAGTCTGTCCCAGCACCCCACCAGGAGCAGGGAACTGGGGGCACTGGGGCAGCCCCAGACATTGGGCACCTCCCTGGGGACAGGTGGAGGACAGGCTGGGACATGGGCCTGCTATGAGGAGCTGGAGACCAGCCCTGCTGGGGTGTCTCTGGAGCAGGGGCTGATGGCCCTGGGGGCTGACATGGGGTCCTGGGGTGTGGGCAGGTGTGGGGAGCCCAGGGATAGCCAGGGACAGCCAGGGCTGGTGGTGCCACTGGGGCCTGGATGCTGGATGCTCAGGGATTTCATCCTGCATGTTTCAGAAGCAGACTTTTTTTCCATTGCAGCAAATAGTTAAACAGGTACCCTGATAGTCTGGGGACATGAAATACTGTGCAGAATTCAGTTATCGCTGCTTTATTGCATTAAAAAAAAAAACAAAACCCATAACCCAGTCTTTCATCATTTAAGAAAAATGTAGCTGAAATAAAATTCCAGCTCTTAGATTTCTGAACAAGACCTCTCCCACGTGAACCGGTTTTAGCTGGACCAATCCTCCATGCTCAAGTCTGCAGAACTCTGCAGAAAGTATCTCAGGGGATGCAAAGTGCTGCCATCCATCTCAGTGGTGTGTTTCTTGAGAAACCTAGCAATGGAAATGTAATTACTTTCAGCATTATCCATTAATTACCTTCTGGTGATTCTAACAGAAATGAGCAGCACAAGAATTTTATCCCCAAACCTCTCTCTACAATGCACAGCCACTTTCTGTATAAACTGCATTGATAAGAAGCCGGTCTTCCTGCTCTCTGCGACTTTGGTTTCCCCCTTCTTTGGCAGCTGTGTGGGGATCCTGTGTGCCAGGTCTTGCTATTAGCTGCATGAGCAGAAGAGAGTTGAGATGTGCTGGTATCTAGTGAAGGAACAGGAGGTGTGTGTCTCTTGGGAGAAACAGCCATGACAAAACCATTTGGTTTTTATTTTTCAAGTAATGAAATATGCTGGCATTATAATGTTGCCAAATCTTAAGAGAGCTAGGGAGGAGAAAGGGTATCACACTGTGCTTTGCCTTGTCCACTGATCTTTTTGGGTTATTTTTTGTAATAGCAAATACTTTTTTAAAGTTCAGCCTTGGGTTCCAAGGCCACTCTTTATAGCAGCAATAGCCTGTAGCTCAGCATCAAACTCTTGAAAAAAATATATGAGCATTTTCTAATTGCTTCCTATAATAATTTTCCTTCCTGTTGCAGTCAGCTATCTCTGAACTCCCTTCCCCACACATACACAAATTATTCAGGCTATTTTACTGGTCAGCTTTCATCAATGTAATTGCTTTCTTATGGAAATATTCACACCCTGAAGTGCAGTTCCCAAGTTATATAGCACACAGAGCATTCCCATTTTCAGTGTTGTCAGGCAATTTCTTCTTGCTCTAAAACCATTCTCATTATAATTAACATTCTTGGTAATATATACATTGGGGGTAAGGGGGTAGGTAAGGGAAAAATATTGAGGTAATACACATAAGATATCTAAATTTAATAAATGAAGAATTTGCATTCACCTAAAAGTCCATAGCAGAAGTGAAGATGTGGAAATTGCTTGGATGCATTTACAATTGAACTGTATGAATTCAGTCTTGGGGTCTCTCAACCCCTATTATCATGTCTGTCTTTCTTACAATTAATATATATAGCCCCATCATGCTCTGGTGGGAGAGAGAACAGCTTGAACTTCCATATCACAGGATAGATGAGGCACCAAGAGGTGGCTGAGACAGGACTTTGCAGTGCTTAATTTTTGTCTTGGTAGGACACCTGCCAGGCAGATGCCTTGCACCATAGGACGGGAGTTGCTACAGAGGTTTAGGTTGTGGTTCTTCACTTGAAAGGCTTCCACTAAGGGAACCTGCTCAGGTAAGGATTTAGAGGAAATCTCCTTATTCTCTAAGGATGCCTTGTCAAACCTTGCATAGCAGTAAAATTCATTTTCTACTGCCTGGTGGGGCTACTTATATATCTGAAGAGCTGGCCGGTTCCAGATCAGCTGTCAGCTGCACAAGGGCCTGCCGCTGCTAGAAAGCATTGGCTTAGACCCCAGCCCCTGCCTAGGCTATGGAGATGCCTTCCACACCCATCTTCTAGTCCTCAAATTCTGCTAAACAATTTTCATAAATTCTTAGATAGAAATGACAGCTGATAATGCTGGTAAGAAGAAAACCCAAATGTGAGCACTGAATTTTGATTAAAAGCATCCCAGCATCAGCTGTGTGTGTGTTTTTCCAAGTGAACTTCAAAAAATAGAGGGTTCTTGTCTAAAATCTTCTACAGCATATGTTGGGCCTCTGTGTAAGACCTTGTATGTCCCGCTGGTGCAGCTATTTCTGACACAACCTGGCAAACCCCAATACTTGGCTGCAGCTGTGGTGCATGTGTGTAGAAGGTCTGTGAACCACTGAGCCTCCTTCAGCTCCCCCGGCATCTCGGGAGGCTCTCAACTCCTTGGAGACTTTGGTCATCTCTACAAACCTCTGTGTCATAACCTTAAAATTCCTGCAGCATTTTGGGGGGTTCAAGCAACTTTAGTGATTGCCATTGGTAAGTTAGCTTCATTTAGCATTGTAGTTTAGTTTGGAAACCATCTGCAAGCAATCATGACCTCTTGTTCAGCTCTATCACCTTGTACTGGCCAGGCTGGAGATAGAAATAATTACATGTACCAGAAGCCAACTTTGTTATGTAAAATGAAGAAAAAAACCCCACCATTAGCACCACCACGAGAAAAACAACCATTGTCCGTTATTTTCCCTTGTAGCTATTAAAATTAAGTTGAACAGAATCCATGACTTCTGAATGAACACACACTCCTTTCAAAAGAGAAATTTCCCAAATTTTGCCAAGTTTCCTTTTGTCTCATGGGAGCTGGCTGCAGTGGCTGAGCACAGGGACACCACATGCTGCATCCAGGCGTCTTGAAGTGACCTTCAGATATAAAAGCAAGCTGTGGGCGTATGGGGAAGGGGAGTGGGGGCAGGAGGCACAGGGATGGTTTGGAAGGAGAGGGATGGAGAAATAAGGGAAGGATTGTAGTGCAAACAGAGGAGATCTCCAGAGATAGTTTCAGTCTTGAAGCTGCTGTAAGTCATCTTTGTCAGAGCGAGGGTGGGCTTGTGTGCTCTTGTACTGGCAGTGGCTGGGCGCTGAATCACGCTGGTCCTCACTCGTTGTCCTGCAAGGAATGGAAAGAGCCCTGGTTGGTTTTGTTGAAAGGAAATGATGTGTGAGTCTGACCAGGAGCCCTTGATGTAAAATCAGTGTGCTGAACGTTTTGGAAACAGGCATTTTGCAGCAACAAAATTTATTGTGATTGCCCCTTTAAAGCACCACACAGCTAATGTAAAGGGTTTAGCAACTCAAATTCTGTTTCAATTAGTCCCCCATGCATCTTACACTGCTTGCTTTATTTCTGTATTTTAGGACTAAAAATGTACATGGCTAATGTAAAGGGTTTAGCAATTCAAATTCTGTTTCAATTAATCCCCCATGCATCTTACACCGCTTGCTTTATTTCAGGACTAAAAATGTACATGGCTACAGGTGTGAGGGAGCTAACAGGCTGTGATTGCCCTGACCTCCCTCACCTGGGAGTCCACCCACACCCTCTCATGAGAGGCTCTACTAAAGCTCATCCTGGGGCATTTAGCTCTTTCCTAAGATAGACTACAAGAGCCTCCTAGTCCTGCTTCTAAGTTGTGGGAGTTTTCTGGACTGCTCTCCGACCTGGTATGTACCTTGTCTGAGCCTTGCTGGATGGTTGATGGGAGCCATTGCTGTCATCACCCTGTTATGAGTACTGTGAGTTCCTGTTTCGCTCATCATGATAGACCTTGTCTTTACAAGCCTTTACTGGTAAGAACATGAACTTTTCTGTTACAGGGAAGTGCTTTCCAGAGGTGTTGTCTAAAGAGAGTATGTGCTTGGGAATACTTTTTGTATAATGCATAAATTAACGTGGTTAGCTTGTTCTGGAGAGTATAGCTGCTTGATGGCTCAAGTGCTAGAAAATGCTGATATGATGTTGTTATTTAGGATGAATTAATGATGCTTTTGACTTTAGAATAAAATGGCAAAATGCGTTCACATGTAACTTCCAGAAATAATCAATTTATAGGCTTCGATGAATGGGAGCTTTGCTTGGTTTCTTTTCTGATTCCAGCTTGTACTGGTAGTGGCTTCATCAATAGGCAGCTCACTTGAAATGGCTTATTGGCATCATATCTCTGCAGAAAGAGTAAATACCTAATCCAGTGAACAAGCTGGCACTATTGTAATCACAAATTTCAACACATATTGGCCATATACTCTGTGACTACAGGTGGTAAATATGATCATTGCAGGAGGAAAAGTGAAGGTGCCCCTGGCAGGTGGTCCATAAAGGTCAGGGTTTTGCTGGGTGAGACGTTACTATGGAGTCTGCACAATCACTGCT